TATGAACCTGAAGTTTATGACATAACTGCATTTATAGTAATTTACAGTTATTAGTTCATGACTTTCTTTATTGAATTGCAATGAGTTAATGAATGTTCTGGATTAATGAATGGATTAATGTGCGGATCAATTATGTGAATAATTAAAACACATAAAACAGAACAGGTAGCTCGGTGAAAAACTTTCCTTAACTGCGCCTCGTTAAATAGGGATCTTCTACGTAAAAAATTTCAATCTCCATCAGGAAAGAAAAAAAGTCACCTTCCAATTCTTGTAAGTCCAATACAAATGATGACTCTGGTAAGGAATGAGGGGTTGACAGAAAACTAAACTTCGGGGGCTGAACAAACAAGCTCAAACCCAAGTGGTTGGTCCAGTTGGGGGACTAAGTTTAAAACCCAATTGGTTTTATTTGATTTGGTTGGGATGAATCACTATTTAGAATTAATTATACCCAAACAGATTGTTTTCTGCACATTTTTGAAGAAATTGACGATTCTCTTAGTATAGAAACTAGAATTGTTATCAGTTCTAATGACGCTGATTTGTTAATTTTCGGATTTATACCCAAAGAGAACAACACTTCCGACATTACTGTGTAACACCAGTTTTCCAGACAGATTTGAATGCACCACTTTTCTGGACAGATTTGAATGCACCATGATATTCATAAACATTGCTGGCCAAGTACTCCTACGTAACCCACGTTTCACTCACAAGATTCACCATTCTTTTAAAGTTGATTTCAAAAGTTGAGATTGTAAATGTTTCCCAAAATATTACAAATCGAATATTCAAAAGTTGATTTTAAAATAATTCCAAATGACAACAGAAATTCAAATAGTCATACTTTTCTCGTTGATAGAAATAGTAGGTCGTAACAACGAATGATGCATAGCTAAGTAAAACACAACATTGTCTACATAAGCTTCATTTTTTAAAACATTGAGTAGTCAAATCGTGGAGAGACTTGTCATTGCGAAGCCATGTGACCTGGTGCATAGGCTTTGGTTTTCTCAATATTTTGCTTGATTATTTGATACACAGTGACAACTCATCTCTTATTGATATATGTGGGATTCTCAATTCAGAAAGTCACATGGCAACAGTAAATTCACTGATTTACCTTACAGTGAGCATGCCCTTATTTTGTCCGTATATGCAGATGGATTGTCAAGTCATGTGACTTTGTGCACAGGCTTTAGTCAAGTTGATGTTTTCCTCGATTTTTTAATTACAGTGACAACTCATCTCTTATTGATATATGTGGGATTCTCAATTCAGAATGTCACATGACAACAGTGAATTCACTGATTTACCTTACAGTCAGTATGCCTTTATTTTGTCTGTATATGCAGATGGATTGTCAAGTCACGTGACTTCGTACACAGTATTTGCTTTTCTCTGTTTTTTCAGTCTAGTGACACTCATACCTTGTTCATATATGTGGGATTGTGATGCAGAGGCATCTTTCTAAAGTCGTTCATAACCAACTATATAAACGGCTAAAGGTGAAGACACAACCTTACAACTTATTTCGCTCTACGAAATTGTCATTTATTTGTTTTAAAAAATTAGCATGGCTACATGGTTCATGGGAGGGAGTGGGAATCGCAGAGGTGGTAGGAACTTGCAAAGGGGTGACAGTTCACGATGAGGAGGGGGAAGGGGAAGTGGCAATGCTGAAGATGAAACACCATTTCCTTTGTTAGATGCCTCTTGTGCTTATCATGATAGGTTTGGGAAGTGACATTTTGTCATGCCCAAATACTATCGAGATCCATGTGGTTTGGTGGAGGATCCATCAGATAATCAAACAGGATATGGTTTAGCAAACAATAGACTTCTGAAGTGGCTTGCACTATTTATAGAGCGAGTGCAAATGGAAAGATTATGTTGGTAAAATCAACTGAAGGTGCCAAAAGCACGTTCTGTTGAGATCCAAAAGGAAGATCCTGATAATGTTGATCGACTATGTGAAAGACTACAACGTGAGATTTCTCAAATGTGCCGTAGGTTAGCCCGCGATAGGCAGCTATACATAGTTAAAAATGATGCCCAGAAGAACAGAACAGAACCAAATGTTGCGGCTATCAACGGTATCATGGAGGATCCTGAGCTTGTCTCTGATGCTGAGCTTTCGGATTGTTCAGACTCTGAGCCACCTGTCGATTTAAGCGCGAATTAGGTGTTAATGTCTACACTTCGGCAATATTAGGTCATGCATTAATATGTAATATTTGTGTTAGAGTAAGTATAACTGTTATGTTTATGTTTATGTTTATGTATTGTGTCTGTCAAATGTTGCGGCTATTAATATGCAATATTAGGTCATGAATTATGTGTTTGTCTGTCTAACTGTTATGTTTATGTATTGTGTGTTCAGTTCAGGATGTCCAAGATGTATGTAATATGTGTTCAGTTCATGGTGTTCAGAATGTATTTTTGTGAGAGAATTATGTCTGTACTACTTATGTAACTGAAAACTATTACATTTGCAACTTCAGTTATGTTGTTTTCATGCTTGTATGAGTATTTAGTAAATTAGTGACTTCGTATATTATGTATTAAGATTTATTACAAAAATGTTGATAAAATTTATTTTAGGAGCTCTCGTTGTGGCCTTCGTCTTCTTGGCCTACTCCGCGGTGGTCTTTGCGTCTCACCATTCGTCGTTGCTCGTCGAGCTGCACAGTGTGTGGGTGTGCTTCGGACTGTAGAGCATGCATATCACCTTCTAACCCATAACAAAGACGAAACAAAAAAATAATTTTTTTTAATGAAAACGGGTACAAAACGGTTTTACTAAACTGATTTTCTGAATTACATTCTCACATTCTAACCCAAAACAAAAGAATAAATATGTATGTATATTTAAATGAAAACAGCTTTCGTAAAGCCAAAATAATTTTCTGAATAACACCTTCTAACTCAAAACAAAGACAAAAGAAGAAAAAAAAAATTACATGAAAAACAACTTTAGTAAAGCAAAAAAAAAAAATTATTAATTACATTATCACCTTCTAACCCAAAACAAACACAAAACAATAAATAAAAAATTTTTACATGAAAACGGCTTTAGTAAAGACCAAAAAAATTTTTGAATTACATTTTCTAAACCAAAATAAAGACAAAAGAAAAAATAAAAAATTTAATATGAGAACAGCTTTAGTACAACCAAACAAAAATTTTAAATTACATTATCACCGAAACAATGACAACAGAAAAAAAATATTTACAAAAAAAAATTAAATCTAATTTAAATGAACAATGAAAGTGTGGTTTCAATCCATGCTTACAATAGTGAACAGTGAAACCATGACTTTTGTAAATGAACTTGATTGGCTTAATAATATCTAAATGAATATGATTTTAAAATTATATATATAAAAAATATTATGTAAAATAAATATATGAAAATAGGTTTTTCTCATATTATGTAAAATTTCTGAATTACACCTTCTAAACAAAAACAAAAACAAAAACAAAAGAAAAAAAAAAAAAATTTAACATGACAATGACTTTAAAGCCAATAAAATTTTATGAATCACATTATCACCAAAACAATGACACCAGGAAAGTGAAACAATTTAAACGCTATTCTAAATAGCGTTTTATTCGCAATTAAAATCGCTATTTTCAATAGCGTTTTATTCATAAGTGAACTCGCTATTTGTAATAGCGTTTTCTTCATTAAACCAATGAGAAAATGAAGCGCTATTCGGAATAGCGTTTTATAATTGAGGTGGGAAAAATAGCAAATGAATCGTTTTGTAATTGAGGCTAAAATCGCTATTCCTAACAGCGTTTTATTAATTGAACTCGCGATTCACAATAGCACCTTAATTATTCATCAAATTTTGGCTTTTAAACAATTAAAGTACGATTTGTAATAACACTTTAGCTTAATTTGAAAATTCTGTTAAAATTAGGCGTAGTTTAAAAAAGAAAAATGACTCGGACCCCAGCTGGGGGCCAGCTGGGGGTGCTGGGGGTCGCCCATGATTGGGCAAAAAAACTGTTTTTTTTTTTTTTTTTTTTTTTTTTAAGTTTCCGGCCAATCCCAGGCCGACACGTGGCACTGGGGGTCGGTGGGGGTCGTTCGTACTGGGAGTCTGTAGCATTGTTGTTTAAAAAATAAAAGGCAAAAGAGATTTAGTTTGGAAAAAAGCCCGAAATCTTGTGCATCTGTTTTAGCAGAGTCAGTTTTCGAGGTGTGTCAGTGTAACTTGTTTGTAATAACTAATAATTTTCAAGAATGAATGACCACCATGGAAATGTTTTTGTTTTTTAATCTTTCTTTTCGAAATGAAATTGTCAATATAAATAAAATGCCTAGTGTTTAATGTAAATATATGAATCAAAATTGTATTCAATTTTGAAATATATATAATATATAATGTATAAAAATTGCAAAATGTGTATTAAAATTCTAATCTGTTTTAGCCTCCGTTTGAAAAATGAGTTGACTTTTTAACTTTTTTGACTATTTTAGCCTGAACTTAAAAAACTTGGTTTGAGAAGGGCTTTTTGACTTTTTGACTTTTTTATTAGAGAAGAATGTAATGATTATGAGTTGGATGTGATGTTTTGTTTGTTATGGCTAAAATAGCCTATTTTGTCTTTTGTGACTAAAATAGTCAAAAAAATCCAAGAACCAACTTACCAAACAGAGACTTAAGAAACGATAGTTAGCAGGACCTATAGATAAATAAATAAATAAATAACCAGGGGTACTCTCTCTCTCTCCAACAATTCTCTTTCACACTTTTTTGTCCATCAATTCTCTTTCACATTATTTTGTCCATTTATCAATCAACCCAATGTGCTTCCTCTCCTATGCACTTTCATGAATACACAAGTTGACATATTTTTATGTAATTATAATTACCATTTCACTATTTTTCATAATTGCAATTCTTCAGCCTCCCTCATCAATGTGATTAGACAAAGCATTACCACCAGAATTTCAGAATCCAAACATATTTACCATGGGCGAGGGGACAAAAATCAACTGTTCATATAAACATTGGTTGAACGTTCACATGAACACTACTGTATATTTCTGAGCTCTCAAGACCATTACTCCATATACAAATTTTTTAATTGCACAGTACGGGTGCAGTATAATCAAAACTCAATACCACTATTCAACTGAACAGAGAATGAAGGCCCAGGCCCACCAACATTGCTGAGCGGAGTTTCAACTCTCACAACTATCCCTGAGCTCCCAACATTGCCATTCCACTTTGACCTGCCAAGCTGAATTCCACAATAGAAGATATCACAAGCAAAAGACCTAAAATTAATAAACTGAGTGATTGAAAATTTTAGTTTTTTTTTTTTGGGAGTACTAAAATGCCAAAAATTGAGACAAATGGGTAGGGCCAAAATCAAGTCTCACTAGTCCCCCATCCCTTTAGGATAGGAATATTCATTGTATTTTATCTCCTCAAAAAAGAAAAAAAAGAAGATCATAATCGGGACTTTCTTTAAGAGGAGAGATGGGAGGGAAGGAGGTATTCAGGGTCCCAATAGCCTCCTGATGAATAATGAGTGCAAGTATTACAACCCAACATGGCATAGACCCTAAATATGAGATTTATGCTTCAACCATACAGGGGAAGTAGATGATAGCATTCTGCATGGAATTTATACACTACGGATGAAACACAGAAGAAAAGCTGATGTACAGAATTGACTTACAGATAATGATGCAAATGCAGAAGGATGTGCCATGAAAGCACAACCACAAATCAGATTCAATTCCTCGTTCACAGAATGTATAAGCTCTGCCTGCAGCCCAGGATTGCTTCCACCATATGTTGGGCATACACTGGCAGGGTATAAAGAAAAAAGAATTGATGAGCTGTGAACTTCATGTAGCATACCAAATGTCAAGCATGAAGAAACAGACACAAAAGGAACACAGAATTTTGAACCCACAAGGGAAAATAATAATTTTTGCTCACGTTCGCTTCAACATTTTCTGTAGTTTTTTTTTTTTTTTATATATATTTATTTTGGTGGCTTGGGACAAAAAGGGTGCTGCCCACCACAAGAAGAAAGAAGAATAGGCGAATAGTGAGCATCTACTAAAGGTAGAGCATGCAGTAACAAGAAAAGAAACAGGCCAATCAAGTTTCGAAATGCACAAGAGAAAAGAACTACTTTTGCTCCCAATAGCTATGAAACGTGCAAGAAAATAGAAGAATTTAGTGACCATACGTTAATCTCTAGATTATTATTATTATTTTAAATTTTGGGTGGCCTGAGACCAAAAAGGTGCTGCCCACACCAAAAGATAAAAGAGAATATGAGAACAATGAACATCATGTAGCATACAAAGAACTACAGGTCAATCTGGTTTCGAATACACGAGAAGAGAAAATATAATTACTTCTGCCTACAATACATGCAAAGGAAACAGAAAAGTTCAGGATTATGTGTTCATCAGTAGATTCCACCCACCACAAAATTTTGATTGGAAGAATGACTCCATGTTGAACTAAAAACAGTAGGACAGAGGAGACAATGAAAGCTTATTTTTCAGATAACTGGATAATGGATCTGGTATCAAGTGAAGAGTGGATAAAATAAACATTGCAGATGAGGAAAGAAAATCCAGAATTTCAGGAAACTCGGTCAAAATATATTTCAGATAACTATACTAGAAAATCAATGACCTCTTCCACTAAAACTCAAGAAGATGGATACCAAATTACAAATCAAAAAACACAAAGCAAAGACTTATACCTGAATTGGATGGTTGGCCTCACCATAAGACCAGATCTCTTCCAAGCTAAAGCTTGTGCAAGACCCAAGGTAAACGATTTGTCAGGCCATTGTACTGTTGGTGTGATTCGTGTTCCCCATTTATTCTGTGAAACAATTTAAACCAGTTTAGACATGAAGGAATAAAGTTAAATTAGATCTATATTGTCATGACATCTTATAATCTTAGTGGCTAACCTTGCAAGAGAAACTGAACCTCATCTCTCCTGGATATCGACCTTGAGCTTGAAGCAGACCCCCACAAAATGGTAGGAATGCACTAGTGGATAATCCCTCACCGGATACATAGGTGAACTGACCATTTGGGAACTGCAAATCCATGAATGACTGAAGCGGAAGAGGTAAAGTCAGACATCCCATTTCAAGAAGTTTGATATTACAAGAAAATTTGGCTGTAGTAACCTAAAAAAGAAAACTGACACACAGATCCATGAAAAATGGAGAAAGAGAATTTGAATTTTATAAAAATGGCATGAAAACATGATAGAAAATCTTTAGGGTTTTTCTAAGTCCAACCACCACCCTTCCAAGTCAACTGACTCGCAAGTTGCGACAATCCAGAATGTATAATGGTTCACTTCCTTTGTTTTTTTTTTTTTTTTTTTTTAGAAGAGGGGGGGTGGGGGGGGGTGTTAACATATGTTTGCTTTTTCAGGTTTGTTGCTCTAGTTAGGGTGACAAAACCGATGGGATTTGTTTATTTTTAAGACCATGCAGTGCAAGAGGATAAAGATACTATGGGTATGTTTGGTTTGGATTTATAGAGTGATTTTGGGAAAATTTTTCTAAAAAACTTGTTTGGTTTGTAATTTTTCCAAAATAATATCCAAAATCACTTTCTCTCTCTTACATATCAATCAATAACTTTTTCTCTTTCCTCTCTCCTTCTCAATCACTTTTTCTCACACATACATCTACTCAATTACAACAAAATATCAAATGATTCCAAACTCCAAAACTCCAAAACTACTTTCAAAATACACAACCAAACAAACTAAAAAAATTTCTAAACTCTCTCCTTAAAACAATTTTTAAAAACTACTCACTCCATATCAAACCAAACATACCCTATATGTTGGTTGGCATAGGGATAAGCTATGTGGGCTGTGCAAGCTTTTGTTTTATCTGTCCACCATGTATTGGGGTTGAGAGGGATACTGCTAAGGTAGGTTAGGTTTGAGTTTTCTTTATAGGGAGAAGTGTGCCCTTTGGGCCGTGTACCAGGGTATGCATAATGAGCTTTGATGTAATATCTTTTCCTTTTGGTAATAAAATGCTTACTTATCAAAAAAAAAAAAATTGCTTATCCAAAAGGAAAAATATGATGAGGGGAATTAGTGAAAACTATTCATTGACACTTAACAGGAACAATATATCAACTTGGGCAAGTAAAATGGTATGTTGACAATATGCCTTTCATGATCAGTCCCATCACAAACACCAAAGCTCCCTAAAGTAGAAAGGGACACATAATTATTTAAAACCAAAATTTCCCCTTCCTGCCCAATCTGCTCCTGCCTGGCATTCTTTCATCTTCATTGACACCAGAGAAGAAAAATGTGATAAACATTAGAGAGTTACCTAGTCATGAAGAGCTCTACTGTACTCATCATGATTTGTCAATCGCTTAGTAAAATCTCAATATTGTCATACATTTATTCTGGCTACAATGGTTTCAAGGCTTCACCTCAATACTCATTCATATAGGTGACTAAAAGTAAAAATGGTACATAATTTGATCAAGGAGAACTAATGAGACACCAACCACATCCTACCAGTGTATTTGCTTATAATCATTGTTTCAAACTTACACACGCTAAAGGATTGAGACAGATCATTGACATCAACAGCCACCTTCTATGCTTAGACCACACAGCTGGACAAAGAGAATGCATTCCATTCTGCCAATCAATCAAAACAACTGTTAGGTATATGTCTGTGGAAGGATCAAAAGCACAGAAGAATAAGTAATTGTAAGGATCTGGATCAGTAAGCCAGGTCAGGATTACAGTGTTAAAATATCAAACTAAAATGAAAAGGAAGACCAATTTGTGTGTGCATGCATTACACTCTTAGAAGCTTGCAAACTAAACCACACCACAGAATGAAATGAAACTAAAGAACCGCTGTCAAGTTATAAACAAATGGTCATGAAAATAGAACTAAATAATTTCTATTGCCTTTTTCCAATTGACAATTATGAACAAGAAAAAAGTGGCTTAGTTCGGATGAACATGTATTAAGGGAAACATTAATGTCACACCAATTCAAATAACCCTACTATAACCCAAAGCCCATATGCTTCACCATCTCACTTCCATTATAAACAACAAAAGTGTCACACATAGCTCATGTTAGGTTGATTGTAAATTAGCCATACCTTTCTATCATAACCATACCAAAGCAAGTGTTGCTTTGACAGGTGAACGGGCAAAAGCAGTGTTGAATCACGAACAAAAAGCACTGGTCCAAGCTGGACAAGGAAGAGCGAGGAATTCTCATTTCCTGCTGTAGAACTACCTTGTGATGCCTCTACTCTCCACCAGTCTCCCCTTGCAACCAAAGAACCTTCCACATCATGCGTCCTACTGTCATATGTAGATGTCACATTAATAGTCCCCTGCATTCAGAGAAATTAACATTTAAAAAAATGAATCAAATGAAATTACACTGGTACTTTAGAAAAGATAAATGAGAATCCGTAACATGTTCTCAAAATCATGTAAAGATAGGAAGTCATGCACCCTCCACACTAGGCAAAGGAAAAGGGAAACTTTCTTGCATGAAAAATGACAGTTCATATTATCGAGTTCGGCCGCTTATTCTGATCCAAAGTACACATTTCAATCACAACAGCAGCATCATATAAGTAATCTCCTCAATTGCCTTTCAACATATTTGCTATAATTCAACTACTACAACTAAATTATGTATAAATTTACCTGTGGTCTACCAAAAAGCCCAGTCGTTTTCGAATTAAACTTAGACAATTCCTCATCCATTGACCCAGCAAAACTCATCTCATTTTCAGCAAACCCAAAATCTCTAAACCGCTCCGCCAAAGATCCCAAATCCTCCTGCATAGTTATACCCCCCACATCAGTCATTTGGTTATTCAGCTCGGTCCGCAGAGATGCCACCACATTCTCATCTTGCCGAAACGGCACCGGCAACCTCCTAAACAACTGCTCAACCATGCCATTCAAGGAAGCCCCAAAGTCCGCCCCGGCTTGCCCTAACCTGTTCCCAATATCAAGAATCGCTGAAACCCCATTAATTCCAGAGTTATCGATTGCAAGCCCAAAATCCCTTTGGGTTGGGAACTCAGTGTCAATTAGATTGGGTTTTTGGGTATTAGGCCATGGGAATGAAGGAGGAGTAATGTGAGAATGAATCAAACCCGTGAAGCCCTGCGCTAGCCTGTCCGCTAAATCTTGGCCGTGACGTTGCACCTCTTCCCATGCTTCAAATGATCTCTCCACAGACATATTTCTTGATTATTGAAACTTAATATTCTCACATAATCTTGAAGGTTTCAATTCATCAAACTGAGCAAATCAATCTAGAGCTTGAATTCAACTTTTTTTTTTTGTGTGTGCTGAAATTGAGGATTTCAAAAATCTGGGTTGTTGTCCAGCAGCAGTTGGAAACACGATCCTGCTAAAGTACAAGCGAATTGAGAGCTGTTTTACCTCAGAAACTGACGAATCGAAGCTCGAAGGGCGTGAAATCAAAATTCTTGGGTCTCTGAAAGCCAGATTCGAAGAGAACAACAACAGCAACAGCTAGGGTTTGCAGAGACGATAGCGCGATGAATGAGCGGATAGAAATTGGATTGGGGAGTTGTGAGTAAGAAATTTCGCAGAGAGCGTGAGAAGTAATGAGAGAGAGAGAGAGGTGGTGATTGATGCGTTCGTCGTCGGCGTAATATCGCAGGGGGTGGGGGGTGAGGGGTGCGTAATGCGCACTGGGCTTCCGTTGTCGCCACGTTGGTGTTAATGCCCGACTCGTGGGTCACCCGTGGGCCGTGGAGCACCTAACAATTCGGTGCCCTGTGCCCGCCAATAACATCACAGGTTTTATTCGCTTACCTACAAATTCATAAACAGTTATGATATGGGGCCCATAAAATACAATCTCCAACTTTTTAAAATGATCTGAATTATTCATATTACTGTCAGATATAACTCTTAAAAAAATTTAAATACATAAATAATCAATACATCAGTAGAGATCATAAGAATCCTCTTTTATAGGATCCCAAACATTTTCCATTCATAAATACACCCTGTCCTTGTTTGAGAAGATGAGAAGTTGGCTATTTATATTTTTATTTGGTTAAAAGGGTTATGTTTGGGAAGTTTATTGGTTTTTTATTTTTTTTCTAATTAATTTGATAATTGTAAGAAAAAATAAAATAATTATAGATTAGATATGACATTTTATGTCTATTTTGTTTTTTATTAATGTTTTGTAGATCGAAACTTTTCCTCCCGAATCCCCCAAATGCCCAAAACGACGCCGTTTTGGGCATTTTTTTTTCTTTTTTTTCTTCCATTTTCCAGTCGTTTTTCCATTTTCCATTTTCGTCGCAGAGAGGAAGAGGGAGAGAAAGAGAGAAGAAGAGGGGAAGAGAGAAAGAGAGAGAAAGAGAAGAGAGGTTCACCGATCGCCGATCGTCGCCCAGCTCGATCGTTGTCGCAGCCCAGCCCCGCCGTCGCAGCAGCTCCGATCGTTGCAGCAGCAGCTCGTCGCAGCCCCAGCCCCGCCATCGCCTCCGCCTTCAGCCCGATTTTGTTGGCCCCTTCCCCTCCAGTTCTTCTTCTTCTTCTTCTCCTCCTTCTTCCTCTGATTTTCTTCTTCTGAAAAAAAAAAAAAAAATTGAAATTCAGGGTATTCGGGGGGCTCAAATTTGAGCTCCCAATCGGGACTGTTTGTTTTTTAGTGTGCTATTTTTAGCCTAATCATCTTCCCAAACAAGGGCTTTGCCATGTTAACATATTTATAGGATTGTTTAGAAATATATTATTTTAATAACTTTTTATTTTTTATAAAAATATATGTAATGTGATAGAGATGTGATATGACTCAAATAAGAGATGATGTAACATAAATAGAATAAAACGACAATCAGTATACTTTTTCATGAGCTACCTAAACAACCCCTATGTTTTTAATTTTTATTGAGATTTGAAAAAAAAAAATTTTAATTTTTTCATCTATGATTAACAAATTATCAATAAAAATTGAGTCAAATGTTATATCGATTAAATTTTTTTTAAAAATTTAATATAAATATGTTAAAATTATGAAACTTAATTGTATTTTTTTCTAGATCTCAAGAAATGTGAGTATAATTTACCCTTAAATTTTTTTTTTTTTGTAAAAAAAATTAAAAAGTAAAAACAAAATTTTTATTTCATATCTGTTTTATTTTTGAAAAAGTATATAAACAATATATAAAATTCTTATAACTAAACAAATATTTATTTCTTTTTCTTTCTGCCTCCCATTGCCCATCACCACTGCGGGCCATTACAGGCTGATAAAAAGAGAGAGAAGTTCTTCAATATTTATTCCGGTGTATTGCATGCATCAATTAGTATATTAATTAGTGTACCAACACTAGTTATAATATTATGGGTAATGCTAAGGATACCAAATTTTCTACCAAACAAATAACCAAATGTCTCACATGGGTGTGGGGTCCGCAATTTTGTGGACCCCACACCCATGTGAGACATTTGGTCATTTATTTGGTAGAAAATTTGGGACCTCTAACATTTTCCTAATATTATTATTGACTCCACTCATTATACAAATTATAAATACTAAAAACCTCTTAAATTATATCACATCATCAGTTGATATATTAATTAGTACACTAATTAATACATATAACATTTTTTTTTATTTGTTGAGATGCACATTTTGGACATACTAGGCCTATGTTTCATTTTCATTATTAATTCATTTAATTATTGTGTTGAGGTCAATGCTGGTCTATAAAATCTTAAAGAAAAAAGTTAGGGATCATGAAAAAACTTTCATGAAAATGGTCATGAAAGAATTATGACCATTGGATTACCTTAATTAGTGTATGGTGCTTTATTTTAACTGTAATCCAAGGATCATAAATTTTTCATGATCATTTTCATGAAATTTTTTTCATGATACCTAGTATTGCTCAATCTTAAATGAACCTTGGCGTGGTTCTGTTGTTTTTTTATATGATTTTAAAACTCTAAGAAAGGTTAATTTCACCTACATTCCTTGTTGAAAAAAACACTTGCATATGATTTTAAAATAGGTGGCACCTCCCCTACGATTAACTGATGTTAACCAATGAAGGGTAAAACAGTAATTGTGCAAAAAAAATAAAAAATAATTGTTGTAAGTCAGAAATAGGTATTTTTTGTTGTCATCAAATTCTCATGCACAGACGTGCATAGCAATTGATGGGTTTTGTTGTATGTTGATTCAGAAAAAACACGTATAGGGACTTCTTTTGTTTCTTGGCTTTTGGCCCTTGTGTTTTTTGTTTGAAGCATGTGTTTCTAATGCACTTGCTCATTTGTTCTTTCTGTGAATTTTAAGCATAGATTGGCGTACATACTCTGCATTTTTTTGCATTTCCGTGATGTGTTTTTAAAGATGGCTTTGAATGAGACTCGTTTTGATACTCGTTCTTTTGTGTATTACATAGCATCATTAAAGGCCATTAGGATGAAGGATTTGATGAAATTATTGTTGGTTTTCTCAGGTGCATTTGTTGGATGCTTGCTTGAAGTGAGCGTTGTCACCATCCGCGAGCAACCCAATAAAATTCTAGATTATATGATAATCAATCCCTTAACGCATCCGATATTCTTTTTGGATTGCTGCCTCGGCCTCCTGCAGCTCTTCCATTCTCTATTACGCACTGTCAGACTCATACCAGAAACTTCAAAGGTGATTGATATGGAGGTTCCGAAAGATTTAGTACACCGAAATATTTTATTTTTTCCATTTATCATGAATTGTATCTAGTGTTTGTTCAATACAAAAGCAATTGGTAGACAAGTGGTTGTACTATACAGCACAAAGAAGTTCAAGAAAAGAGGCAAGTTCTCAATTATATGTATACTAAAGTTGTGACACACAAACTTTCCCAACTGCACATAAATTTACATGGTCAAAACAAATTTTAGAATTCATTGCGCCTCAAAAGAAAGGTTTTTGATAGGTTTTTGACTGAAATGGTGATTTCAACTGGGTTAGATTTTCATATAATTCAATGATTGAAGGTGCATTGGAACCACACAAATAAATAAATAAATAATTAAAAAATTAAAAATTAAATAAACAAGAATTTAAGGATAAAGATCCTTAACCTTAGGGCCAATTTAATTTTGACAATCTAACCATATATAACGTTCTATCTCTTTGATAAAGGGCACAGCTTTCTTATTTAAAGAAGTTAAAATTAGCTGCAATTGCATGGTAGATGACAAGGTGCTACTGGCTTTTCCGTGTCTCTTTTTTCTTTTTTTTTTCCCTCTCATCTTTTTCACTGAAATGGAATCAAATTGAGAGAGAGAGAGAGAGAGAGAGAGAGAGAGAGAGAGAGAGGGCCTACCTTTAATCCTGGCTATTACCAGGTTCAACATCTGGAATCATGTAACAGTAAAGCTTGTTTTTAACAGAAAAGTAAAATGAAAAAAAGGTCGAGCCAAGGTAAAAACTCATAAACACAAAGCTAAAGCTAAAGCAGCCATTGCAAAGAACCATAAAAAGTTGTTAGACCAAGTGCCCAACAATGATTCTTAGGGATGGATGTCCCACAATGATTTGCTCAAGTGAATGCTACCTCATTTTCCTATAGAGCTTGGAAGGGGAAGAACCATCATCCAAGTCCATGTAGAACTAGTTACACTTACATAGTCGCTAAAAGTTTACTGAAAAACAATTCTGTATATAAACGAGTCCAAACTTGAATAAATTTTGAATCTAATTAATTTTTTGAGCTAGGCTCGATAAACTTGATCTGTTTCACAATTACTCATTGACCAAATCATTATATATTGCCATAGATAATCAGTACACTTTCATGCATCACTATTCCAACACATGATTTGGTCAAAAAGAAAGTTTTTATAGACATACCTAACCCTGAAACATTCCCATTAATTCCTAGAATTTCGGTGGCATGCTAGTGGTGCTCTGGTCCACACATGCTGTCTATCTATCTGTTCAAAAAATTGCAACCTTTTTTTTTTTTTTCCCCATGTTGCAATTCCATAAAGAAATGATTGCATCAATTAATCAATAACAGAAGTAAGAAATGAAGATTGGAATAATGGTCAAAGTAGACAACACATTATAATTTCAAAGAATGTACAAGGAAGTTCACTCTAATCCCAATTCAAAAACATGTTCAACCACTGAGATACATTCCAATTTCAAGTTTTGATTAGGCAGGCATTGCTTTCAATGGCAAATGAGAACTCAGAGGAATCCAAACTTCTGTTTCTTAAAGCTTTCAAGAAAATGTCAACTAACAAGGATCAAAAGCAAATAAAGGGTTTTGAAACCGCCCCAAGCATCAACGACCTCACCTCGAACCATGCCTCTATTCTTTCCCAAACAAAACCTTCCATCTTTTCTGCTCAGCATTTCTTTACCTGCAACACGATATAGATTAAGCAACAAACAAAGGAACACTCAATTTGATCAGTGAAATTGAAAACCAAATGCAACAACAAACCTGGTCCTTGAGCTCCCAAGAGTAAGCTCAAGATCATCACCACAGTCCTCGTGAATCCTCTCTCCTTCCCACGCCCTCACCAGCCCTGCTGTGTGGCTTCCAAAAGCAAACTCATCTGAAATCACTTCAGACATAGGGACATCAGCAGTATGGTCAGAGCCTGCTGCGATGGCAGGAGAGCAAGTTCCACTTTGCCCAGGTGTCCACATACGAGACCCACCACCCGCCATGACCTCGTCCTTGAAGCCAAACGGATTTGAAGAGACGAGGCTGAATGTTGGAGATGTTGGTCCGCCTTGTGGGATTCGAATCCCAGCAAACCATTCTGAATCAGGAAGGATCTGACGGCCAGGGCTTGGTGGGGTAGAAGAAGGAAGCAAGGGGTAGTGAGTGCCACCCCGGCCTACACGGGCAGAAGGGTCATCCCAGTTGGGTTTGAGTCGAGGGGTTCGGGCAGTTGGGGAGCTCAATGGGGGTGTGACAGGAGCACTAATTGAGCCACAGTGAATGTAGAGATGGGGAAGCTTGGAGGAGGAGGCTGATGAAGAAGCAGATGAGAGGTTCTTGAGCCATGGGATGAGGGAACTGCCATCTACATTAGCATTGGCAGCATAAGAAGAGGAAGCTGGGCTTGGAAAGGAAGAGGAGCCTGGGCTTGGGTTGTAAGAAGCACAGGGGCTTGGTTGGTAAGATGCACAGGGGCTTGGTTGGTAAGATGAACATGGACTTGCTGATGCAGATCCACCCATAATATCCATGCGTTCCACAGGCTTGCATCCCTTGCGGTAGGTGGTGCCGTCAAGCTCGACGGTCCAACCGGCCTCATCGCAGAGGGCTTTGAGGACCTCGTTGTTGTCGCAGTGCTTGGGCAGCTTAGAAAGGAAATAGACAAGTAAAGAAAATATAGGATGACCATGAATCTGACTATCGTTTGTACCAGAGCCATCAACTTATGACAAATTTCAGAAGTTGCACTCAAAAATACAAAATTAAGCATTTGGACTGGAGCCTAAAAAATGCAAGGCTAATTTTACCATTGCGCTTCCACCTACGCAACCAGTACACTACTCTCCGATAGTGTCATTAGTCTTCTCTGGATGACACCAACCAGCTAAACATATGCTCTCTTCATGTCATAACCCAATTACATTGTTTATTTATGGTAAAACCATCCCTCTCTCTTCAGTCATCTAGGCAACACATAAACATTTATGATCTCCCAACACCATGCTCCACGCACACTGTAACAAATTGATTGTGAACTTGGTTCTGTAGTTTTTTTGGAATGACAATAACCCTAGAAAGTACTTGTTCTGTATTTTGTTTGTAATAACAACTATCCCTTCCCTACGAAATGATTGAACTGAGGAAAAGACGGTTGTCATTTTGAACTGCATAGTTTGCAATCAACCTCAATGAATACTCTGAAATGATTAGTGGCCTTCTATATATATAATATATTGCCCAACAGAACTACATCTTAGATGTTTGGTTATATTACAATGTTGGGCATATTCCTAATTTTTAGAACAGGTTCAGAAATATCTTAACGAGAAAAAACTGGCACCATGTATGCTTAGGAGATAAAATAGGAAGATACAATATGCCTGCCAAGCTCAAATTCTAGTCAAAACATACATGGAAAGTGGGGCAAGAACATTATTTATTAAACACATTACAGTTTAGGCACTCTCCATAGAAAAGTAAATTCATCTTATTACGTATTGGAGTAATCTAAAAAAATTGCTGTAATTCTACTGAATGTCAACCATATTTATGTAACTACCAGCAGGCTTGGGAGGTCAGATCAGCAAGGAAATTGAAGGACGCAACTTTTTTCTCATTATGTAGTCCAGTGGACTTGTCAACAAAGAACAATTACCTAAAACCAATCCACCTATCTATGTTTCCTTTCCTCCATCAGTAATAAAAAGATGTCAAGGTCCATTTTAGAAGTTTGTTTTTCAATACAGTGTGCTAATATACCATTGATAAACAGGGTTATAAAACATGTCACATGGAGATTAGTATTTTCACTCAGTCTATTAGATAACTAATATTCCATTGATAAATAAGGTTATTACTAGTGTGCTAAAACATGTCACATGGAGAAAAACATAATAAAAAGGGAGCTAATAATTGTAAAATCCCATTTGCCAGTCAATATATATGAGGACCAAAAAACCCTCAATACTTGTATTTAGAGGCTTGGTTGATTTAGTGTACTATGAATTATTGAACCTGAACAATGAAACTGTTTTTCATCAGAACAGCAAGGGATAGAGATGGATCACCAAATTGGATATAAACAGAACTGAAAAAGGGATCTGTTATTTTTAGGCAATTAAAAAGGGGCAGTTGCAGTAAACAAAGTAAAGGGTTCACCAAAAGATGTTGCCCCAAATCCAGAAAGATAGAGAAAGAAAAAGAAAGTGTTAATACTGTGTACCAAAAGTACCCATCATAAATCTAGGTCTTTTGAGTCTTAAAAGGAAGTTTAAGCAACCATTTGGGTTAATCAGCAAGGGCATTATCGTCTTATCATGATGCAAGTAGTTTCAAGGTTCTCTCAGGCTTAACCGAGTCTCACAGTCATCGAGAGCGTTTGAACGAGGGAATCTTGAGCTTCACGGATCCACGGAAGCAAACAAAGACAATAAAAAAGAAAAAGGGAAACAGAAAAACATATTTTCACAGTCCCAACCAGATCTAACGTACGCCGGTGATGGTATAAAAAGCAGCGTAAAAGAATCTAATCCCTCTCTGGCCCGGAAAACATATAATCTTAACAAACACCTGTTATCTCCTCATCATAGAACGGACACAAATTACGGAAGCGTATCTCGTCTCGCAATCTCGGCTCCACAACAAATTGCTAAAATGAACCACTACATTAGAAAATTTTATAAACAAACTGAGCCGGCGCCCGGCGCACGTTAGCAAAGAACGCAACCGCGAAATGGCGCGACGGGTCCGTGCCGGACGTCCGAACAGCTAACCTGCGCCGAGATCAGTTAAAATGCGCCAGAAGCTATAATTGAAAGACGGATCGACTCGAAATATCTTGTCTCGCACTCTCGCTCAAGAGCAAATTACTTAAAATGCGCCGAGCTCGGGCGACTGGTCTGAGGTGCTAAAATGCGCCGCGAAACAAACAAACAAGTAGTTAAGCACCCACAGAGCGGAGCTATAATAATTGAAGGAATGACGGTTCGACTTTGATGAGAGAGAGAGAGAGAGTGGTGACGTGTACCTTGCGGTAGGTGGTGCCGTCAAGCTCGACGGTCCAACCGGCCTCGTCGCAGAGGGCTTTGAGGACCTCGTTGTTGTCGCAGTGCTTGGGCAGCTTGTAGTTCCCGTACATCCTCAGTCCGGCGAAGATCTTCGCCGCGATCGCTCTTCGCCTCCTCTCTCTCCTCTTGTTGTTCTCTCTCTCCTTCCATGACGGCAGCCTCGTCCCCGACGTCATCACTCTCTCTCCCCCTCTATCTATATATATATTTGTATTTATACTCTATCTTTCAAATGAGAATTTAGAGAAATTGAACTGAGAAAAACTCAAACAAGAACTTGATCAGACTGGACTGGACTGGTTTCGACTTCTGGATCAATAAATATGCATCAGACTGCGCTGTTTTTCTTGAAGAAAAAGTAAATAATGAAGCTGCTGAATTGAATTGAATTGAAACAGAGAAATTCAACCATAAATGCTCCTAATTCTCATCTAGCAAAAACAACTAATTTAAGAAACAAAAATTCAAACCAAATTCAGCTAGAAATTAGCATAATATGGAAAAAAAATTAAATCAAACAAAAAAGTTGTTGAATTTCAGCGGCTGGAACAGCTCGAGAAATCGATGGACATAGATCGGGTTTCTGGATAGAATGGAGTGGAATTTAGGAAGAGATCGGAAAATCGCTCGGAAAGCGATTAGTGGTTTTGTGAGAAAACAAGGAAGGAAAAAGTGGAAGAGAAACCAAGACTTGGTTTGTGGGATATGGAGGCGTATTGGAGGAGAGGAGGTGGTACCTGGTGAGCTAAATACATTGAGGGCTAATAATTGTCCATGCATGATTTGTTAATTTACGAAGCTACCACTGCTAGGACTGCACCCGTTCAGCCGAGTCCAGAATTGTATAGAGTGAATGACAAAAGTGACCTCCTGATCGTTGCTATGCTCGCGAAATCCATTCGTTTTGTTTAATTTAAGAATTATGATTTGTGTGTGAAGTTATATTTTAAATTTTAAAATTTTAAATTATAATTTGAATTTTTTTTTTTTATAATTATGAGTGTTGAAAATAATTTTTAAATAATTTGTATTTTTTTTTGATTAATTAATGCATAAAATGTGAGAATGTGAAAAGAGAAAAGAGAGAGGAGAGAAAAAAAAATCATTAATTGAATAATAACAAATAATAATAATAAAGAGAAGTAATGAGTTTTGAAAGTAATTTTGAGTTATATTTTAAAAATATGTTTGGTTAACATTTTTCATCCAAATCATTATTTAAAAACAGAATTGAGTTTTGAAAAGTAAACCAAACACTACCTAAACATTCTATTTGTTTTCTATCAAAATTATTTTTCTTTTAATTTTTTTTTAAATTTCTCTTTTTTAACATGATGAAAAATGAAGAAAAAAAAGAAAGTAAATGGGTGATAAATCCAATCTAAAGAGGTTGTAAAGCATGAAGTCTAGTGAATATTTTTTTATTAGTGAGAGGTCTACCATTTGTGAAATAATTTGATGAGAAGACATTTTTCTTATTTTGAAGGATATTTTGTTTTTAATTTTATCCTTTAATTTATCTGTTGACTTTTTTTTATTCATTGACTATCTGAGCAAATTTTTTTCTATTTGTTCAAAAAAATTATTATCTGTTTAAAATTTTACCTATCTGTTGAAATTTATATCTATTTGTTCAATTTTTTCTTATCTGTTCAATTTTTTTCCTTTATCTATTCAAACATCTTTTCAAATTTTATTATCTGTTCATTTTTTCCCTATCTATTGAAATACCAAGCCCCTATATATTCAAATCTTTCTTTTCTCTCTCCCTTTCCTTATTTGTTGCAATATGTTTCACCATCATCAACAACATATCTGTTCATTTGTTTCCCTATTTATTGAAATACAAAACCCCTATTTGTTCAAATCTTTCTTTTATCGCTCCCTCTCCATGTCTGTTGCAATATCTGTCTATTTCAAATCTGTTTCTTCATCAACAACATTCATTATCATTATCAACAACAATAATCAACTACCAAAAAAAGAGAGAGAACAAAAATGCTATCTGATAAAAAAAAAAAATACACAGATATAAACATACATATATATATGCATGTCTAACTAGTTATGTTGATTTCACCACACACTCATGTATACATATATATATATATATAGATATCTTACTAGTTCTATTGATTTCACCATTCCTATATAAATGCATATATATAAAACCTTTGGATGCTTTTTTCGAGTGATGAAAAGTGATTAGGGAGCTCTTTCCATAGCAAAGTACAGCTCGTCATTAGAGAGGTTTGTCTCTGAAACTCGTCAAAGCTCACGGCGGCGGAGACTGAGTCAACTCGTCGAAGCCTTGTCGAGATTGGAGAAAAAGGAGAGAGAGAGAGACAGAGAGAGACAGAGAGAGAAATGTGTGGTCGGTGACAAAGCCTCAAAGGGCAAGAAGAGTCTAGATCAACGGATACAGAGAAGAGAGAGAGAAAAAAAAAGAAAAGAGAGAGAACAAGAATGAAGTCAGTAGTGGTCTAGATCTAGGGTTAGGGTTAGCGGTTCTATAGATCTTGGGGTCGTCGGTGACCAATCTCTCTCTCTCTCTCTCTCTCTTCGAGCATCTCTCTTTTTCTCTGCGATGATGGCTCCGACAAAAGTACTGAGTCAATGATGACACAGCAGCGAACCACCAGAGTGGAAAATGAACCACCAGTGGCATGGAGGTGACTAAGCGATGGCAGATTTGGCTTCTGCAACGGCCTCATTTGGTAGCGATGATGATGATGGGACAGTGACGGAAATGAGTAGGCAGCGACGACGAGATGCCGACGGGCGACGATGGAGAAGATGAGAGACTAACAAGGAGAGAAAGGGGTTAGGACCATCGGCATAAGAAGAAGAGAGAGACAGATCTGATTAAAAGGGTTTGAATGGTGGTGTATAGCGTTGTGCATAATACCGCCAAAATCGCACCAAATCACTCTGAACCGCACAGTTTTTCAATTCTGGTTGGCGAGCGGGTTGGAGTCCCAGGAGCGGTGGGTCGGCATGGGTGGCGGTTGGAAATTTCTAACCCGCCATATAAACTGACCCGACATGCCTACTGTTAAATACACATCCAGCAAGAATAATTCCAGCCATTAGATTACATCTATCATACATATACTCACTCACACATAATTATTTCTCAATTAAACCTAATAGACACTCAAACATTTCATCTTATTGATCATCGATTCATCCTTGCTAGGGCTATGCACAACATCTCATTTCATTCCTCTTCCTTACCTTGCCGATCGGCGTTACCTACTTATTGGTAGCCTTTCTATCACCGTCGTTAGCCTCGCCCTTACTGCCTTCTCCTTACCTTGCCAATCGGTGCTGCCTACTTGTCGTTACGTGGCTCTCTCTCTTTCTCACTGCTCTCTCTGCTATTTTCTCTCGCTGCTCTCTCTGTTCTCTGTTATTTCCTTTCTCTCTCTCTCTGTTCTTTATTATTTCCTTTCTCCCTTTCTCCCCCTCTCTCTGCTCTGCTCTGCTCTGCTCTCTCTCTCCCTCTCTCTCTTTCTTTCTCTCTATTTCTTTCTCTCTCTCTCTCTCTCTATATATATATATAACAACTCACCACTCACTGTATAGCCTTGTTTTGTTTCAAAGCAGAGTGGTTTTCATTCATTTTTTTTAATTTTTTTTATTTAAAACTAATATTGATAATTTTTATTTATTTACTTATCATCAAAGAATGGACGAAGGAAATACAAATGATGGCTGCTTTGATAGTGGAAACCCTCCTACACCACCTGAAGAATCAACTACTGTTGCCAGTTCTACCACTACTACACTGCCTGTCAAAAATTCTGGTAAAAATCGTCCATGCTCTAGTATTAATTTAGATAAAAAGAAATCTAAGGTTTGGAAACACTTCACCTTACTTGATGATTGTAAGCCTAATAAATCTTGGGTTGGTTGTAATTATTGTGGTAAGGATTATGGTGCTTGTTGAAAATAAAATGGGACTAGTAATACGTGGAACCACCTTAAGCATCAATGTATAAAGTCTCCTATTAAGGAAGTGGACAAAAAACAAAAAAACTCTTTCTTTTGTTAAAAAAAAAAAAAAGAGAGGAGAAGGAACATGATAGTCGGAGGATTGGATCTCTCAAAACAGTAGGATATGATGAAAAACTTTGTAGGGAAGCACTAACAAAGATGATTATAATTGATGAATTACCTTTTAGGTGTGTGGAGAAGGAAGGGTTTAAAATTTTTTGTCTAGTTATGCAACCTAAGTTTTGTGTCCTTTCTCGCACTACTGTTATGGGTGATTGTTTGAAATTATTTCTTGATAAAAAGAAAAATTTGAAGAAAGTTCTAAGGAAGCAATGAGTATGCTTAACCACTAACACTTAGACATCAATTCAAAATCTAAATTATATGTGTGTCACCGACCATTGGATTGATAATGATTGTATAACGATCCCGATTTTGACCCGTTATCTATTGTATTCCAAACTCGAGTTGGTATGATTTAGAATAGTTATTCATATCTGGCTTCCCTTATTTCCCCCCATATTTTGGTTATCGGGTTGTAGTTGTGCGTTTGGAACAGGTTGGTTGCTTGTTTTTCCAAACCTTTGTTGCCAATATTTTGGTTCCTCTGCTTGAGCGGGATTTGTCAATTTTCAGTATTTTTGCAGTTCTACAAATACTGGGAGAGTGCATTAGATACTCGAGCGTCCAGTCTCACGCTCAAGCGGGGTCCTTCATCTGCAAAACTTTTGGAATTATGTATTCTACGCTCGAGCTTCGCTTCTTGTGCTTGAGCAGACCTTTGTGCCTGACGCTCGAGCGTCACTTTCCATGCTCGAGCGGACTGCGTATATATTAATCCGTGAAGATGACATTTTGAATCACTTTTTCTTCTCTCTCTCTCTTTCTAAAACTTCTCGAAAACCTAGATCTACACATTCTCTCTAAGATTTCATCTAGATCCGTTGGGATTTCCACCCTAGTGCCTTTGAGAAAAAGGTAGAGTGCATCAAGATCTTCATTCTAATTTGATTAAAAGTGGGTTTCGTCGTTCTTGGAGCCTCACTCTTGCTTGGCTCATCTTTTTCCTTTGAGGTAGGGGTTTTTCTACACTCTCATATGGTTTTTAGCTTAGTTATTTGTTATTGTGTAACAATAGTGAGATTTGGGAATAATTTGATCAAACCTAAGGTTTGGGAGTGAAGTGAAAAAGAGGGGTTTTTGGTGAATATGGAATAAATGAGTTTGGAGGCTAAAAATATGTTTATGTTGTGTCAAAATGGTGGATTTTGGTACTTGGGTTGGTGTTTAGGAAAATGAGGGGGTTTTGCCCTAATTGAATCAAATTGTTATTTTGTATAAATGATTGAAATTGATATTGATAATGTGAAATTGGATGATCTTTGATATAAATGGTGGAATGGAACATGTATTATTTCACACCTTTGGATGTCTGGAATAAACTATCAGTTTGAGATTGAATATCTGTTTAGATATAACTGTATTGGGTAATTGGTGGAGGATAGCTTTGATTGTTGTAGAAATGGCATGTGGATTAGGCGAATTGAAACTAATCTTGTGATGGTTGTCATTGAATATGGCCATGTCTATATACATTGTACATGTATGATTATATGGGAGTGGAAAGGGGATGTACTCCATTGTTTGATTTTGTGTTTATATACATTGCATATGTATGAATGATTGTTTGGGAGGAAAAAGGGGATAGACTCTATTATAATCAAGTTGGTCG